AAGAACATATTTGAAGCATTAGACGTTAATGACTGAAGACCAGAAGAGCTGTGGGATGACATCAAGAACATCATACAGGAAGAAACTAAAAGATCATTAAAAAGAAAGAAAAGACCAAAATGAACACCAGGAGAGACTATGAAACTTGTTCTCCAGCATAGAGATGCTAAAGCAAATGGAAGAAATAAGGAAGTAAAAGTGTTGAAGAGAAAATTTCAGCGGGCAATTCGAGTAGACAAAGTCAAGTACTGTAATGAAATGCTCAAAGACCTAGAGTTAGAAAATAGAGACGGTGCCCTCAGAATTTCTCAGACTGAAAGAACTGAAATAAAACTTCAAGCCTCGACTTGCAATATGGAAGGACTCCCTGAGAAAAAATATTGAATGATGCAGGAAGCATCAAAAGAAGAGGGACGTTATACACAGTCACTGGACCAAAATAATGGTTGATATTCAACTCTTTCAAGAGGTAGCATAAGATCAAGAACCAATGGTAATGAAGGAAGAAGTTCAAGCTTCACTGAAAGCATTGGCAAAAAACAAGGTTCCAGGAACTCATGGAATAAAAATGGAAATCCATCAACAAACTGATGCAGCAGAGGAGGCACTCCCTCATCTTTGCCAAGAAATTTGGAAGAAATCCACCTGGCCAACTGATTGCAAGAGATCCATGTTTGTGCCCATTCCAAAGAGAGGTGACCCAATGGAATGTGGATATCATCAAACAATATCATTACTATCACATGCAAGTTACATTTTGCTACAGATATTAAAAAAAAAAAACAAAACAGCTGCAACAGTACGTTGACAGGGAACCGCCAGAAACACAGATCAGATTCAGAGGCAGATGTGGGACTAGAGATATCACTGCTGATGTCAGATGACTCTTGACTGAAAGCAGAAAATACAAAAAAAGATGTTTACTTGTGCTTGATTGACTATGCAAAGACTTTCACCTGTGTGGTTCCCGACAATCTATAGGTATCAAAGAATGGGTATTCCAAAACACTTCATTGTGCTTACCTGGAGTCTACACATAGGCCAGGAAGCAGTCATTCGAACATAACAATGGGACACTTGAGTGGTTTAAAATAGGGAAAGGTGTGCACCAGGGTTGTATCACTTTACTATACTTATTCAATCTGTATGTTGAGCAAATAATCTGAGAAGCTGGATTCTATGAAGAAGAATGTGGTATCAGGATTGGATGAAGACTCATGAACAACCTGCAATTCGCAGGTTGCTTACTGGAAGCAAAGACGATTTAAAATACTTACTGATGAAGATCAAAGACTACAGACTTCGGTATGGCTTGCGCCTGAATATAAAGAAAACAAAAATCCTCACAACTGGACAAATAAACAACATCATGATAAATGGAGAAAAGATTGAAGTTGTCACAAACTTAATTTTGCTTGGATTCACCATCAACTCTCACAGAATCACCAGGCAAGATATCACATAAGATTTGCCTAATGCAAATCTGCTGTACAAGAACTCTTTAAAGTGTTCTAGAGCAAAGATACCAGTTTTTTATGGTGTGACTTTTCAGTAGCCTTATATGAATGTGAAAGTTGGACAATGAATAAAGAAGACCTTACAAGAATTGATGCGTTTAAATTATGGTGTTGGAGAAGAATATTGAAAATACCATGGACAGCTAGAAGAACATGCCGTGTTGGAAGAAGTCCCACCAGAATGCTCCATAGAATCCACTTTATCTCTCAAAGTTCAGACATGTTATCAGGAGAGACCAGTTACTGGAGAAGGACATTATGTTGGGTAAGGGGAAAGGTCAGTGAAAAAGAGGAAGACTCCACAATGAGATGGATTGGCACAGTGGAAACAGTAATGGGCTCAAAGCATAGCAGGAATTGTGAGGATGGCACAGGACCGGGGAGTCTGTTGTTCTGTTGGGTCGCTATGAGCCAAACCAACTCATGGGCACCTAATGCCAACAGCAATACAGACCAGTGAGCCAGCAATATTCTGCTTAGACTTTGAGGTTTTAGACCCTGGGGCAGTGCACTGTATTTAATATAGCTGCTGAGAGCAGGTTTTTTATGAAGTGAGAAAAAGCAGTAAAAAGAGGAAGTGCCTATGGGGAGCCCCCAAAGTCTCCCTTGGCAGAACGTTCTCAGACACCTCAGTTTTTAGAAACAGTGTTTTTGGAAGACATGGATCTGGGAACTTATTTCCCAAAACTATTTGCTCCCATGTTTGGTGGTGGGAGGGGAGGGGTGTAGACTGTACCATGTGACACTGTCAGACACCCCAAAGTCTGTTTATAAAATTTTCTTTTTGCAGTTTCTGCAGAAACATTATAATTTTTTATATTAAAAAAATATCCCTGTAGTTAGTTATAGGACTCCTGGTGTGGCACTGTGGTTTAATGCTCTGGACTGCAAGGTCGGTTTGAACTGCAAGGTCGGTGGTTCAAGTTCACCAGTTATTCCTTGGAAACCCTATACAAGATCACTATGAGTTGGAAGCTACTCAAGGACACTTAACAACAACAACAGTTAGTTGTAATGACAAAATCATTGTTTTGCAAACTCAGATTGTAGGTATCAATATTAATTTACAAGGCTAACACTCTATACTAATTTATTTTTGAACCTTCTAATGTGCTCTGGTCAGAGCTGTCATTATAACCCAATTACAATGATGTTTGGAATCAGGTGGTTTCATTGGAATGCATGTGTTACAGGCATGTGCTATTGTTTTTCTTGCTACTGGTGTTTTTGTAGTTGCTGATTTTGGCTAATGTTCTAATGCTTTAGTTACATAGCTGAAGTAAATACTATGTGTGAACTTACATCAAATAACTGTTCTGAGAATGAAGTCGTAATTAAAGGAAAAGAAGGAAAAAACCAAAGTTTTCGCTCAGTTATTAGTAATGTTGCAACTAATAATGTTCTGGTTACAAATTGGGCTGCTAATCTGAAGGTCAGCAGATTGAAACTACCAGCCATTCTGTGGGAGAAATTTGAGTCTTTCTGCTACTGTAAAGATTTACAGCCTTGGAAACCCTATACAGGGTCGCTATGAGTCAGAACCAAGTACACGGCATATCACCCCCCCCCCATTCATATAAGCTAAGTAATTTATAACTATTTTTGTCACCTATTATTCTATGATTAAAACTAACAATACATATTGCACAGGATTCTGTGTGGTCATGTAGGGGAGGCACCATTAGTTACTTGCCACCAATCCTAGTGACTCTGCTGTGCCCATGCACCCTTAGGAAGTCTTTGTGACCCCCAAGCCCCCAGTTTGAAGGTCATTACAATAAAGAAAAGGCCTGAACGACCCCTGTCTTTAGGTGAAAAAGGAGTCCGAGTCCCATCCAAGAAGGGAGAGGACAGTCCCCAGCCGGAAAGAAAGGAGAGTGGCTGGTCCAAATTGATCATCTTTGCCGTTCAAATCGGGACCAGCAAATTTGGGGGGTGGTGGTTTAAGGGTGCAGATACTGAGTACATTAGAGGACCATGAGAATGCATGGTCCTCCCTCCCCACGTTAACTGAGCTCAGACTATCCTCCCAGTTGATGCCTAGAAAGAGTTGTTGTTCAGTGCTGTTGAGTCACTTCCAACTCATACCAACCCCATATGGAGTTTCCAAGGAGTTGCTGCTGGGTTTGTACTGCCAACCTTAAGGTTAGCAGTCTAGTGCTTATCCTACAGCAAGTGCCATCCAGGATTCTTAGAAAGGGCCATTGTTGCTGTTCTTAGTACCATCAAGTTGGTTCCGACTGAAAGCACAGGATTTTCAAGAAGCGGCTGGTGGGTTTGAACCACTAACACTGTGGTTAGCAGCCAGCGCTGACCCTCTAGCAAGTGCCACAGCAGGACTCCTAGAAAGGATTAGGATTAGATGTATGCCTTCCTGGTGATTCCCTGGTGGTTGAGGTGTAACCAAACCACTTCCCACTAACCACCAGTTCTTGATCTCTTGTTACAATCTTTACAACAATGTTTTGCAGCAGGTACTACCACCAGTGCTGCTTTACAGGTAAGGCCAACAGGAGATTTATGGAAGCTGAATAACCCACCCGTGGTCCCATGGGAAAGCAATGTTCACCTCATGGTGTTTCATCCTTTGTATCAAATCACAGTCACGGCTTTGCTGCCAAGATCAATGTTCTTCAGAGACATATGGTTGGGGAGGGGGCAGAGAAATACTGACATAATGAACTGGGAACAGTCAACAGAACCTGGGAAATGCAAGGCAGTGAGCTGAGTGAAATGCGGAACAGCTGGTAGTTTCAAACTGAGGTTCGCAGCCCGATTCATAACTACTACGCTACCAGAGCTCCTTATGGATGGAAAATCATGGTTTGGAAAAGTTTGAACTAGAGCAATTTTTTCCGAAAGGGTAGCTTAATCATCAAGTCAGGCTATTCCTTAGGAAAAATGAATTAGGTGAAGTTTAGCTTTGGTACTGTCTCCCCTTCTCAGGAACTTATTTGTTCCCCCTGGAAATCCCTATGGCTGCTTAAGGAGCCCTGGTAATGTTGTTGGTTAGGCAGTGGGCTGGTTAACCACAAGGTTGGCAGTTCAAACTCACAAGCCACTCCGCTGTCTGTTCCCATAAAGATTTACACTCTGGGAAACCCTATCCAGAGTTGCTATGAGTTGGACTAAATCCAATGGCAGTGAGTTTAGGTTTTTGAATTTCTGACTGCTTGGCTGCTAACTGAAAGGTTAGAGGTTCAAGTCCAGCAGAGGTACCTTGGAAGAAGGCCTGGTGGTGTACCTCTGGAGCACAGTTGTACTTGGACATGTGGGGTCACCATGAGTTGGAACTGACTTGATGATAACTGGTACTGGTGCCTCTACTTACCCTCACCTTGGATGCTTTCTACTCACAAGGCAAAATTGTTGTCTTGGAGGTGGCTCTCTCTTTATCGTCATCCTCCCAGATTTTGCCTTAGTGGGTTTCCCAGCTCTAGTGGGTTTCTGTCCCTGGCAGCTTATGTGGGTCCCATGACTCACCTTTGACTTTCAGAGTCAGGTACTTATAGTCCCAGGCGTTCCCATAGATGATCAAGCAGCGGTACTGGCCTGCATCGCTCACGTGGGCTCTGGGGAAGTGAAACAAGGCCTTCCCCAGGGACAGCTGCTTCTCCAGCAAAGTCACTCTCTTATTGGATATGGATGTGCCATTCTCTTTCTTTTCCAAACTGGCTGTTAATGCCTCAAGTTGAACAGGACCTCCAGTGTCAAAATCACACTCCAGGGTCACGTTGCTGCCATGGTCTACCACGTACAGTTCCTTGGGGACAGTTACGGTGAAAAGAGCTGGAAAAAAATGAGATGTTCTGCAAATGTTTGCCTTCATACCTCAGCTCTGTCCAGACCCATCCATCCTCATCTTCTAAGAGACCCCTGCCATTCTCTGGGCTTCCTCTTGGACTGTTTTTCCTCCTTTGCCCCCAGCAAGTCTGGGCAAGAGCAGACTTCTTGAACCATTGCTCTGAAGTATTTCTTTCCTCTAAACAGCTGAGCACTCGCCTGCCATCTACCCCTACCTGGGCAGCCTAGCGACTGCTTCCAACCACTTCTTCCCTGAAGCGCTTCCAAATGAACCCCTCACATTAAAAGAACCATTTCTCTGTGACTTCTCTCCCCTGAAGGGCTTAGTTCATTTTACTTACATTCTAGTCAATCCATATGCATTCATTTACATCTTTCCTCATCAAATACCACACCCTATCAGCAAGGATAATAATAATAAAACTACCCTTTCTTGAGCTCTTAAAATATGTTAGACACTGCTGATACACTATATCACTTAGTCTTCCCAGGAAACCTGCAAGGTCGGAGCAATACTGTTGTCTTCTCTTTTTTTTTATAGAAAATGAAACTGAAGCACAGAGAGGTTAAGCAACTTGTCCAAGATCACACAGCCAGTACGTGAGCCACATCACATAAACCCAATGTAGAAGGTTCCTCTTGTTTATCAACAAGGGGAAAGAAAGAAGATGATGGGTATTTTGTTTGTAACTATTATGTTTCGGGCAATGTTCTGAGCCTTTCTTCCTAGTCTGGAAGCCCCACTGAAATCTGTTCAGAACCATGACAACACATGAGGTGGCAGACAGATGGTGAAATCGAACCCAGATCTCTTACATGGAAAGTGAGCATTCTACGACTGAGCCACCATGGTCTCCTCTTACTCTATTATGTAAAACCGGAAACAGGGAAGAGGAGTGAGGTCTGCAAAGAAGATTGGTTGTTGAGTCTGATGCACGCACTACGAGAACTTGATAGAAGACTTGGGGTGTAGACACTAATGAATCTGCTTAGCAGTTTGTTGACCACGCGTATGGTTTCTTGTTATGAGAGGAGGTATGCCTGTAGCTTCTGCTGGAACTCCCCACAGCACAGTGCAGAACTCCTCTTTCTTCTGCCCGAGGCTTTGACAAAAGTCCATGTCTGCCTTCTTGTCCACTCTTGCTTTCACGCTTTGTTGGTATGAGCTACACGATCTCTCAGACAGGTGATGATAGTAAACACATCTCAAAGCCAGAGGTCGGCTAATGTTCACAGGAAGAAGGGGCAGTTAGCAAAAGCATGAACCGTGTATCTGAGTAGCTCGGAATAACTAAGGTTAGCTGTTCCACAGTCTCATTTTGCCCCAATTACTGCTGCTAGGACATGCAGTATACTGCCCTGTATAAAATGAGAGGGTTAGGAAATGCAACACACTTCTGAAATCCTAAAACACGTTGTTGTTTTAAGTGCTGGCGAGTTGGTTTCTACCCATAGCGATCCTGTATAGGGTTTCCGACGAGCGGCTGGTGAGTTTGAACTGTTACCTTTGCAGTTCAAACCAACCTAGTGGTCCAGTGTTTATCTGCAGCACCACCCAGGACTCCACTAAATCATGTTTACTTGTGGTAAATTCCTAGGGACATCAGAAGACTTCACAATCAATTATGATCAAGAAGTTGTTCTCAACCTTAGCTGCTTCCTCAAGCATGACCACCATTGGAATCATCTCTTGAAGTTGTTAGTTGTCACCGAGTGGACTCTAAGTCACGGAGACCCCACAGGTAGAGTAGAGCTGTGCTCCGTAGGCTTTCAAGGCTGTGATCTGTCAGGAGCAGACTGCCAGACCTGTCCTCCAAGACACCTCTGAGTGGGTTTGAACTGCCAACCTTACAGCTAATAGTCAAGTCAAGCCGACCTCGCAGTTCAAAGTGATCCTGCAGTGCAGTGCATTAACACACAGCGCCACACCAGAACTCCATTTACATCATCTGGGAGGCTTTTAAAAAAAAAAAAAACAAAAACACCAAAAAACTAATATCCAGGTACCCTTGGATCCTTCAAATTTTAGTTGTTGGAGTGGAGTGGTTAACATCAATTTATTTTAAGTTCTTTGGGGGCTTCTAATGTGCACAGTACTGAGAAGCATTGGCTGAACAGAACAATTACACTTGCTAACAGCCCATCTTTTACTATCTTGCCATTCAAAGGTAATCCTCAGCTTTACTTGGGAGCTAGTTAGTAATGCAGAATCATAGACTCCACCCAGAACTAGTGAAATCAGAATCCACATTTTAACAAGGCTGGCTTAATTCATATGCACATTAATGTTTGAGAAGCAGATAACACTGGTCTGTATTTGGGTTGTTAGTGGAATGCAGAGTAATTGTTAACATTTATTCAATACAATGAGCTAGACACTCAAAACCCTGATACAGATATATCATCTCATTCCAGGCACCCACCAACCTGGCAAGATAGGAACTAGATCTACATTTTACAAATGAGGAAAAAAGCCGCCAAACCCATTGCCATTGAGTTTGAATCTGACTCATAGCGATCCTATGAGGGCAGAGTAGATTGAACTGCCCCTTTATAGGCCCCTTTAGAGGAACAGACTGTCACATGGTTCTCACATGGAGTGACTGGTGGGTTCCCACTGCTGACCTTTCAGTTGGCAGCTGATCACTTAACCACTGTGCACCCAGTGGTTCCTTACAGATGAGGAAACCGAGGCTTAAAGAAATGACAACTTGGCTAAGGTTGAAGTTGGATACATTGGAAAGTTGGCATTCAAATTCATCTCTCTGCCTGTAAACACTCACAGCCTTGGAAGCCCTATGGGACAGCTGTTTCTGTCAGAAGGTCGCTCTGAGTTGGAATCCACTCAATGACAGCGTCTTCAAAGCTTGTTCTCTAAATGACTCTGCAAAGGTAGACTACGCCCATGAATGAGACAGACACACTTTCTAGCTTTCTGTAGAGAGGTTCAACCTAGTATTGAAGTCCCGGAAGCTATGAGACAAAAGGAGAAAATGGAAAGTTGAGACAAAAGGAGAAAATGGAAAGTTGCCACGGCTACTGAACGGAGCAGAGGATACGAGTTTTCTCATTCAGCTAGGATCCATCGTTAATTTAAGGGGAAAAGGAATTGGCCAAAGTAGGGAGAATTTGCACTTGCTGGTCTTTGGCCAGACTGGAACCGTTGGTCCCAGAATGTGGGAGTCATTTGGAGCGTTCCTAGGGAACTGGGCACTGAATCGACAGGCAGCTCTAGCCAGGAGACAGCACCTGCTACCTCTCCAGGAAATGCAACACCCCCAAATACTTTGCATTTAGCTCCCAAGATAGCTTTCTCTTTAAGCCAATTTTATCATTATTTATTGAACAAGTAGAAGCTTAAGCTTTTTTTCAGACTTCCTATCTAATGTGTTTGAAAGATGGGGCAAGGCATACACCACACATCCGTGTTCTCCAGAAAACGTTGAAGTCCCAATTTCAAGCTAAGTTCTGCTCTCTTCTTTGAAGGAACACTCAGTACTTGTACACATTTTCTAGAAATCCTTTCTCCAGCCTAATCCTTCTGCCTCATATAGCTCAGAGGTCAGCAGAAGCAGTTTTGGAGGCTGAAGATTGATTGGCAGAGTAAGTGACCCAGAGTTCCCAACTTAGAGTAATTTCAAGTGTCACCATGGCCAACCACCTCCCTTTCATCCAGTCTTCAGCCATCTCTGGAGGATAAAGAGAGAAGGAAACATCAATAAAAGACAGGAGACTGGGATTGTTAGTGACAAGGCAAAAATGAGTCATTGTTAGGTGCCATTGAGTCGGTTCTGACCCATATAACAGAACAAAACTCCGCTCCGGTTCTGTACCACCCTCACAATTCCTGCTGTGCTTGTACCCAATGAAATGTACCATCCATCTCACTGGGGGGTCTCCCTCTTTGTCACTGTCCCTCCACTTTACCGAGCATAATATCCTTCTCCAGGCACTGGTCTCACCTGACAACATGTCTGAAGTATGAGAGATGAAGTCGGGCCATCCTGGCCTCCAAGGAGCACTCTGCGTTTCTTCCTACACAGATCTGTTGGTTCTTCAGGTAGTCCATGGTACCTTTAATATTCTTTTCCAACACCATAACTCAAATGCATCGGTTCTTCTATGGTCTTCTTTTTTATTGTCCAACTTTCACATGCACATGAGGTTGTTGCACTTTAATCCTCAAACTGATATCTCTTTTTCACTCACTCTTGACTTTTCCAAGCATTATGTCCTTCTCCAAGGACTGGTGCCTCCAGATGACATGTCCGAAGCACGTGAGACTGAGTCTCACCATCTTTGCTTCTAAGGAACATTCTAGATGTACTTCTTCCAGGACAGACTTGTTCGTTCTTCAGGTTGTCCCAATTGTCTTTGCCACCACCATATTTCAAAAGCATCATTTCTTCTTAGGCCTTCCTTATCTGTTGTCTGCCTTTTGCATGCATATGAGGCAATTAAAAATACATTGACCAGGTTCACTTTAGTCCTCAAAGTGACAGTTCACTTTTTAACACTTTAAACAGGTCTTTAAAGATACCATACTCAAGACAGTGTGATATTGATGAAAAGATATACACATAGGGACCAAATATAGATTCCTGCAAACAATAACAATTGAATTTTGACAAAGGTACAAAGGAAATTCAGTGAAGACAGGAAAATCTTTTCAACTAAGGGGGGTTACAGCAACTGGACATGCATATGCAAAAAGAAGAAAAGTGTTGGATTAAACCTCACATCTTATGCAAAAATGGACTAAAAATGGGTCAGAACCTAAATGTAAAATGTATAACTATGAAATGTTTAGTGGAAAATATAAAAGAAAATCTTGGAGACCTTGGATTAGGCAAAGACGTCTTTGATAAGGCACAAAAACTTGAATGTAACATTAATGATATCGTTCATTGATAGTTGCGTTTCATTGAGCACCTACTCCAATCAGTTGGTCGGGTAGTTTTCTTTCAAATTTCTCGGCATAGAGG